ATTTCGCAAGACAAGACGATAGAATGGATTTGCATTCGTTCTTTCTTTTCTTTTAATAAAATTGTCTTGTTTCTTTTCATTTCTTCCGAAAGTCGCGTGACTTACGGTTGTTTAGATTTGTTAAATTACTTTTATTTACTAAGCACGCAAATGGTACTTATGTTTAATGTTTTCTTAGGCTTTCTGGAAATCACAAGTCAAGTGGCTCTCACGTTTTTGATTACTCAAAAGTAAACTTTTTATAATTATATGTAAATTGCAATAATTATATTCAAATATTATGCTTGGCATACTCGATGTCCAAATCAATATTTAACAATAAATGTGCAATTGTTAGATGCTTGCAATTCTTTGTATCCGTGTGTCATATAGCGGTTTCGTCATCTCGATATTCATCTGCCACTCCTTTTATATCGCCGTTCTGTTTCGATTTTACGAGCTCCGTTCTAGACGGCAGTGCGTCAATGAGAGCTGTATAAACCGGCTGAAATCTATCAAAGTTTATTGCGAAATGATTTTATACTCTATGCGTATACGTTTTATGTTCGAAATTTATTTCCAAACATCTTTCGCACAATAACTTGTGTATACGAGAGTTTGACTCAAAAGGATCGCTTAAGGCTTTTGTGCCGTTTGTTTCAACATCCGGCACACGTGAACAGATGATTTCTTTGGACGTTCTACGGCATTGAACATTTAAAATCTTATTCGAAGGGATCGAGATTCTGATTCGTTTTAGTATTTTTTGCGTCCACACTCTATTGATTCATTCTCATTTATCGTACTTTCTTTTCAATACTTATTAGGATTTATTTTAAAATGTTTAAGTAAACGAAATAATGCATTAAGTGTCTATCATGTTCAAGTTCATTCGTACATTTATTTTTAAAACTAAACCCCTTACTTTCTTAATTGTTATCAATCGTTCTGTTATTTCTGTAATACCTAACAGTACAATGCAATTATTATTTATCTTAATATTATAATATTCTAAAGACCAATATCAGGATGGATGTTCGTTTTTTTATATCATAAGGTGGCAAACGAGCGAGCGGCCACCTGAAATCGCTGAAATAGGGAAGTGACCGTTGCCCATAGACATACGCAATTGCATATGCGTTGCCTACCTTGGTGCGACTGAGGAGAGGATGCACAGAAAGAAAATATCGTTTGAAGGTATCTCCAGAACAGCAGCATGGATCTCGCTGAAATTTGTCATAGATGTGGAACATAGCCTATAAGAACACATAGGCTACTAATTAAGTTCTTTTAATTCCGCTCGGTCGAAGTCGCGGGAGATAGCTAGTGGCATTAATATTAATATTAGAAATAAGCTCATGTAGCTAGAAGCAAGCGGTCGGCAAAACTTAACTGTACCATTATTATCGATCTTTATCGCGGCTCGCAGGACGCTGTGTTAAATTCGACATGCATTATTTATACTCTAAGGGGAGTCCACTCATTGAAACCAAATAAAACCAATATACAACAATTCTGTGGCAACTGATCACAATTTAAAATCACCTTTAACAAAACATAATAAGGGTTATTTTACTAAAAGTGAGACTTAGTTATATTAATGACAAAACAGTACTATACGTCGCTTTCCTCGCTATCGAGTAAACATATCTCGAGAGTTGGTAATGTACACCGAAATGGTTCGATTAAATGATACGGGTATCCTATCTAATTCGTTATTAACTTGTTATTTTAAATTTGTCCATTTCACGACTATCATGGTTGACTTGATCAATTTAAATTGAGTTGAATAACGACCCGGCCGGACAGATACCGCTAGCGAGACGCCGTAGAGCTGGACCTGCAGGAGCTGAGAGCGATTGACTGACAGGAAAAGGTATCCAAGGAGGAGAGCAACCACTTTTAGATGCTGCGCTAGTAGAGTAACCGTGGGTTTCTGACATCAAAATCTCTACAAAAAACATATCGTCGTTCCTGTCATTATCTTTGACAACAGAGTGACTCAGGCACCCACGGTCAGTAATTATATTCGTTGGAAAGTCTGTGACACTTGATTGTAGGAAACTATTGTATCTTTTAGCAATATTTTGAAAAATGTTTAAAATCTACCAAAGCGTTTCGAAGCTTTGAATTTCACACGAAATCAGATGACGTCAGCGGTGGGTATACGTAACAAATAAAGTGAGAATTTTTATGCAAGAACTATTCGGAAAACTAGAACTTGCAATAGAATGCATGTTTTATATTGAAATACAAAATTCATGAATCATTCTCTCTATATCCCAGAGTGTAACTTGTCGAAATCTTATTTATTCATCATCATCATCATCAGCTCACTATACGTCCCCACCGAGAGCTCGGAGCCTACCCTAAGTTAAGGGTGATTAATAATCAACCACGCTGACCAAGTGCGGGTTGGTTGACTTCACACATATCTTTGAATTACTTCTCAGATATGTGCAGGTTGCATCACGATGTTTTCCTTCACCATAAGAATTTAATTCTTACCAATATTATAAATGCATTTGTTATTTACGATGTTTAGATGTTTTTATGAAGTTTAGATGAATAATTTGATGCTTGTTAGAAGGTATATCTAGAAGAGCTCTCGAAATGGAATGGATCTCAAATAAAATTTGACAAAGATGTATAGCATAGTCTAGAAGAATACATACGTTACTGAGTTTTTTAATACCGCGCGGACGGAGTCGTCGGCGTCAGCTTACAGTATGAAAGTTTATATACGGGTCAGATATTTCGTACAGCAATATATTAATAAAGATATTGTGTTGTTTTATGACTACTTCACCCGCATGTGGTCAAGTGCAGACCAGAGTAAGTGTGAAGAAGCCAAACATACATAAACCGACAACTCCCCTAACCATCGTATGATACAATAATTTCTGCAACTGATAATTGTAAAGTAAAATTTCTTAGCCGGCATACGATACCAATTTTTTTTTACTGATTAATAGATAGCCATTTATTTTTATAAGAGAAGGGGGCAAACGAGCGGCGGGAACACCGAGGTGATCAACGACACCCATGGACATCTGCAACACCAGAGGAACTGCCATTTCAAATGATTTGTTTGACCGGTGAATATTAGTCGTCAAAAGTGTAAGAAAGTGTTGAATAACCCAGCTCTCCCTTCCTCCCCTTTCCAAATCGAATTCAATGAAAATATAAATATGTTAATATTATCTTTAAATTTTACTTTGGTATACATTTGTACGCATAAGAGGATATTTCTTAATAGAACCAGTTTTTATTATTATACGTATATTCTCCATAACAATGAGCACAACATTTTCATTGTAACAAAGTAGTTTTAATAGCGGACGTAGCATAATGTCTGAGATTCGCTACTAGATAAAAACAGGAACATGGAAGCAGGTTTACTATACAGCTACAAACGTAAATAAATGTAGATTTCCACTGAATAAACTCTTCATAAAAACAAAATTTCATCCCTTTTATAAAAAAAGTAAAGCAAGACGTTGTATACATTCTTAAGTGTTGAATCTTATTTCTTACTAATATACATGCCAATGTTTGGATGGATGGATATTTGTTACAAGGCATCTCCAGAACGGCTGCATAGATCTCGCTCAAATGTGACGTAGATGTCGAACATAGCCAGGAAGAACACATAGGCTAATAATCTAGTTTTTTTTATTCTGCGCGGACAGAGTCGTGGGCGAAAGCTAGTTTAACATAAAATACAATCGAGTTAATTATTCATAGCAATAAGCGTAAGTATCTAGGTATTACTTGAATCTAGTTCTAGTCTATCAATAAATTAATAAAACAATTATGAATAACCAAAAAGACTTGCCTATCTAATATCGCTTGATGGTTTACTTAAGCAGTCCTTTAGTGTAGATTAAATACTAAACCCACACTAATCACCCCCCTTAGTGACGTCATAACGATTCCTATGGCAAGTATTTATAGTAATTTAAATATGTACGAGCTCGCGTAACCTTTACATTGAAACAGACGAGTGATTTATGAACGTAACTTCTTTTCTCATACAAGTGAGATCAAATTTTCATTATAACTTTACCCGCATATTTATTGGAATATTATACATCGTATTAAACAAAAATAAAGTACGGGTAATATACAACGCCCACTCTAATACAAAGAACACCTACTAATGGAAATTTAAAATATAAGCATGGCTGGAAAATCTCATCACGCCTTAAAGTAAATATTTAAAATAAAAAAGTAATGCACTCAAGTCTTCCAAATCCAAATAGGAATCATTGAACTGTCAGTTTTCTTTTTTTTATATTGAATGAACGAGTGCTTCACCCAAAACCCATTTGATAGTAAGTGGGTATGTGATCGAATGATGGTACGCACTAGCTTAGTAAATACCCTAGTCTTGAAGGCACGCATGTTATAGCTGGACGGACACACTGACGCCGTCTACTTATTCCAATCCTTTGCTGTGCGCACGAGGAACGATCTTAAAGGCATTGTATAAAGTTCTAAGTATTTTTCGGTTATTTATATCCCGTCTTTCAACTTCTATACTGCAAAAAAAGTTACATATTAAAAAATATAGTCAAGATATTGCTTTAGGGGTTTAGGCACTTGATTTGTAATCTGCAGGTCCTTGGTTTGAATTTACATATGTACATTTATCCGACGTTCTTACGGTGAAGGAAAACATCGTGATGCAACATGCACATGTCTATGAAATCAACCAATCGAGTCACCCCCAACTTAAGGTAGGCTCTGAGCCCCTTTTTTTCCAGAGAGGAATGCTTTATGCATACTCCGCGCACCAGGGGGGACGCGGTAGTTATGTGGGATTCTCCTCTATAGCGGAGGCATACCCACTAAACCTCTCTGTTCCTCCAACGCATCGGGACGGGACCACGGGCACGCTTTCGCTCTCGTCCCAGGCTCTGAGCCCCTCAGTGGGGACGTATAGTGAGCCGAAGATGATTTCTTTACAATTTAACGTAATAACTATAAAAGATAGCAAATACATACCGACGCGACGTTAGACCGTGCAGCAGCGCTGCAGTGTAATCGGAAGTTCTAAAATATAAAAGTAGTGTTTGGAAGTAATATATTTTCGAAGTTTCGTTATTAAAGTAACTATTTCGCCAAAGTAAACAAAAACATTATACTTTGTTTAAACCAAAATTATTTATTTAATGAAAAAACATCAATTACTTATTTATTAATGTGCGACGGTGTTCGTTGATTCGCAAGTTGTTTGTCACGCATTGGCCCGGACATGCTATTTAAGACCTTAAGCAGTTCACATAAGTATCAATTTGCCTAATTTAGTAAAAAGATTTCGCCAAAGAACAGTTGCAATATAGACCATTCCGCGCTAACGAAAGACAAGGATTAGCGACATTGCAGATAAGTCACAGTGGTAACATTACAACTATTTCTCTCAGAGGGCGTGTCAACGATAACTGTTGTAATATTTATCAGAAATGGCTTCTCGTGCAAATATTAAGCTTTGCTCCCCGATACGTCACCGCTCACCATCCGAGGGTGTCACGCGCAGGAAGAAGAATCAACCCGATGTGGATAGTGCGTCTTCGGATTGCACAGACATAACAAAAGAAATAAAACTACTTCGTCAAGCCTTGTCTGGTCTGAACTCAAACCTAACCGAAGCCATTCAATCTATTCAAGAATGCTCGAAGAGACTAGATGATGTTACCACTAAAATCGAACTAACAGAGAAACGACTGAGTGACTTAGAAAATCGACAGACCAAAGAGAATATAGAACTGAAGTCACAGGTCGCCATGCTCATGGACAAAGTGAACACCCAAGAGCAACTACTGCTCAAAAATGAGATAGAAATTGCTGGTGTGCCGGAAAGTAGAAATGAAAGCTTAAGACATATTGTCAAACTAGTTGGTAATAAAATAGGCGTTGACGTGACTGATGAAGATCTCGACTTAACAATGAGAGCTGGCCCTAGAAACTCAACAAAACCCAATATCTCACGATCAATTGTTGTGCGATTCTTGCGTAAACAAAAAAAAGACGATTTCTTATCAGCTGCTAAAATACGCAAGAATATTACTTCAAAGGATATTACACCAGATGTATCGGAGCACAAAATTTATATTAATGAAAGACTAACCAAACAGAATCGCTATTTATTTCGGGAGACTAGATTTCGTACCAAACAATCAAACTTCAAGTACTGCTGGGCGAAAAATGGTCTTATCTATGTTCGTGAGAAAGAAGGAAAGGCTGCCACACTCATCCGTACAATTGCCGATTTGGATAATATGTTCGGCCCAGGAGACACAAACTCTGAAAGCAAATAAAACTAACGAACACTGTAGGGCTTACATTTGTGTTCTCAATTATTCTCCTAACTATATTCTTATAGTTTTGTTTTATTTTACTGAATTCAAAAACTTTGTTACACAGTTTATCCTTAGTAATAGTTTGTGCCATGTCATCATACATTCCGAATCATTCTCCCCGAATACTTGTATAATATGCATCTCCTTGCACGTAGATGTACTTAGATTTATATTGTCTTCAATGATTAACTACTCACTGCTCAATGAAATAATACTTGGTCTCCATTTATTCTTCCATAAAATTCCTCATGGCTACAGCAAAACTTGATACTTTTGAAGAAATTGACCGTACATTGGGCATTGAGTGTTGCGATATAGACCTATTGGATAACTGTACTAATGTGTTCACAGATAACCACGATTTTAAAATATTAGCTTTTAACATTCGCAGCATTAGACACAACTTTGACTCATTTATTGTAGCTCTTAATAGGATGAACATTACCTTTGATATAATTATATTAACAGAATGTTGGCTGTCTGAAAATCCGTATCCCTTACAAATATCGGACTACTCTTATTTTTCCACTACAAAAATGAACAACCAAAACGGTGGTGTCGTTGTATACGTAAACTCCCTGTTGAACCCAACTGTAAGTGAACCAGAGGTTGACGAAGCGGATTGTCTACTCGTTGAGTTACCAAACATAAAAATAATAGGCATATATCGGTCGCCATCTTTTAAAAATACAGAAAAATTTATATCTTCTCTGCATAATCTTCTCACTTCTTTTAATCGCAAGGACCCTGTAATAGTCGCTGGTGACATCAATATAAATATCTTAGAGACCTCAAATATTAAAACCACGGAATATCTTGCTGTGATGGCTGAACTGGACTTGCAACAAGCAATACATAAACCAACAAGACTCAACTCTTGCTTGGACCATATTTTTATTCGAGCTGACTCACAGCACAAATTAGGGGCTGTTTGTAAGTGTGACATAACAGACCACAATATGATTCTACTAGGTTTGTCTATGACAAACCTTTCTAACACAAATCAAAATCGTCGAATCTTTAAAATCAACTTTAATCGTGTCACAGAGGAACTGGAGAAACAAGATTGGAATGACGTATATAATAGTTGTGATGTTAACTTAGCTACTGAAAAGTTCAACGACATACTCCAAACCCATATAACAAAACACATCACCTCACACTGTGTTAGACGATCCAAACAAATATTAAAACCTTGGATCACCCCGGGGTTAAAGCGTTGCATGTCACATCGAGATAAACTACATTTAGATCTTCGTAAATTCCCCAACGACCCAATCCGTCAATTGGTTTATAAGCGGTACAGAAACTTTTGTAACAACCTTTTGCGCAAACTTAAAAATGTCTATGAAGCTCAAGAATTACAAAAAAACAAAAATAATCCTAAAAAACTTTGGAAATCCATCAAAAATATTTGTTCGCTTAAAACCAACCCATCTAAGAACTCTGATTTGTTAACAGTTTCCTCTGATATTAATGATTCCTTATACCTTTGTAATCAACACTTTGCTAATGTAGGTAACAAATATGCACAATACATATTAAACAAACTGTCCAAAACCGAACCTGAATTAGCCCTCTCTATTTCTTCCTTGACTAATAATACCAAATCATTTTTTGTCCATCCAACAAATGCTTATGAAGTTGACAAAATTATCAGTCAGCTTAAAAAGGACAGTTCACCGGGTATTGATGGAATACAAGCTTCGTTAATAAAATCTATTAAATCTCAAATTTTAGCACCTTTAACGTATATTTTGAACCTTAGTTTATCCTCTGCTGTATTTCCTACATCATGGAAAACCGCATGTGTTATTCCTATTCATAAAAACGGTTCTACAACATCCCCAGAAAATTATAGACCGATCTCATTATTGACGATATTTTCTAAGATTCTGGAAAAAATAGTAAATAATCAATTAATTAAATTTATTTCTCCATACCTACATCCCCATCAATATGGCTTTAGACCTGGTCATTCTACTGAAGATGCTGTATTACACTTAACAAATAAAATCACTTCTATACTAGATGACAAAAGAAATTGTATCGCTGTGTTTCTTGACCTTGCTAAAGCATTCGATACTGTTTCCGTCCCGATTCTTTTAAAGAAACTCGAATACTTTGGTATTAGAGGTCTGGCTTTAGAATGGTTTCAGAGTTACCTCACTGATAGATCTCAAATAATTAAAATTGATGAGTTCAGTAGTAAAAAGCTGCCAATAACCTACGGCGTCCCACAAGGCAGTGTCCTCGGACCCACTCTCTTCATAATTTATATCAATGGTCTCCTTAGCGTCATTGATAATAATTTTACTAATGTAATCTGTTACGCCGACGACACTGCTCTCATTTTTGATGGCGAGTCTTGGTCTGAAACTTCCCAAAGAGCAGAAATAGGTCTTAAGAGAACAGTTGAATGGTTAAATAACAACCTTTTAACCCTTAACACAAATAAAACAAAAGCTTTATATTTCTACAAAACCAAATCTTCCGAACCGAAATACCAAATAAAGTTAAAAATTCATGCGGAGTGTTCTAATCCCAGCTTATGTAACTGTCCCGTAATAGAGCAAGTGCACAGCATTAGATATCTTGGTGTTATCATTGATGACAAAATGTCTTACAATATGCACATATCTGGTTTAGCTGCCAAAGTTCGTAGACTGACTCATATCATGTACCGTATCCGTGACGCTGCCGACCCTAAAACTACACTATTAGTCTACACTGCACTTTGCGAATCCATAATCGCTTACTGCATTACTTCGTGGGGAGGATCTGCTATGACTGCTATGCTCGAACTAGAGAGAGCACAAAGAGCGGTGTTAAAAGTGTTGCTCAACCGTAGAAAAAGGTCTTCGACATTTGCTTTGTACTCGGAGGCTGGGGTTCTCAGTGTACGGAAAATTTTCATATTAAGGACATCTATTTTACAGCATAAAGCTATTGTAAATAGTACCAATGGCCAAAATCTTCATGCAAAGCGAAAATTTAAAGTGCCCATACCGAAGGTTAATTCCTCATTTGCTCAACGTTTTGAGCATTTCCTAGGTCCCTACATTTACAATATAGTCTTAGAAAAATGCGACATTAAGCGAGACTCGGTTAACAAAGCCAAAATAAAATTAAAGTCGTGGTTGCTGAAACTAACGTACAAGGACACAGAAGACATTCTTAAAATAATATGTTAAGGTTATCACTAATGTTTGGCATGTGTAACTTTGATTTAGCTTCTTTTCTAAAACAAATGGCACTTGATTATTTGTATTTTACTTAATTTGTTGCCGTCTAACGAACCTCTGATAAATCTTAAGAGCAGGATCCTCGCGACACAGGCTGCGCCTAGTGCGAGGATACTGGTAAATACTTGTAATACCCACCTTTTTTGTATCCATTAAATTTCTTAGCTTAACTTTTTAATGTGAAATTATGTTCTTGGATTTTAATAAATTATTTTTCATTTTTCAAATTATTTTTCACATTAATTATTAAAATCCTTTAATAAAGGTAAACATAAAAAGAGTTTAAATTTAAATATTTACGAGTAGCTTATAACAATAAATGTACAGAAATTCTTTCATTAAGAATAACCGCGGCACAACAACGTTTCGTACAAAGGAAATGTAATATGCCGCATATGAAACGCGGAGTGCTTTTAAGCGCTGAAAGATATTTAAGCAACACAAAAAACTTTACGACCGCTCGCTATCCATGCAGATTTAAAAAAAATAAAATCTTTTTAAACGGTGCACTTTAGTGTCCAGTTATGAACAGCATTAGTGTTATGAAAGTTTCGCTATAAAGGTTAATAACTATGCAATTAAGCGAATACATGTAGATTGTATTTAATATTATATGTAATATATTTGGATGGATGGATGGATGTTTGCTAGAGGAAATCATAGTAGCTCACAGTCTGGAAGAAGACGTAGTTACTAATTAAGTTATTTTTAATTCTACGCGAACGGAGTCGAAGGGGGTTAGGTTGTAAAGAATAAAATAATCTGGCGGATTGCGGACTAGTAGCAGCGGTTCCCAAACTTATTTTGTCTACTGCCCACTTTGAGAATAAACATTTTTTAGCGCCACCATATTTTCACATATTTAAAAACCACTATAACTTCAAATTAAATTAATTAATTATTGTGACCTCTATATGTATATTAACGGAGAATTCTAAACGAAACTTTTACTATCACCCGCAACTTGAGACCTACAGCGCCCACAAGGGGGCGTTATCGCCCACTTTGGGAAAGACTGGTCTAGAGCCTAAGCAACTGCAACGATTTTGACGAGTGAGTTGTCGTTTTTCAATTCCAAGGCCCGATATTTCATACAACACACTATACTATTGTGGTAAATTTTAATAATGATAATAATATTGAACAAAAAAAATCATTACTGACACATTGATTTCAAAAGTGGAAATTATTTAGTAAACTTAGCAATGTGTATGACCCATGAATGTCATACAAATAAAGTCATATGAACTCAGGTAACATTTGAACTAAACAAAGCTTCACGGAAGCCGAATAGGTAACTCGATAGTAATAAATCAATCACAAAAGTGAACAATACGCGGTCACCGGAAGTCCCCTGAATTTCGTCCACAGATCCCATTGTGCCGAAATATGATCTCGGAACGAGAAATTTATCTTACGTTTTCTCGTTTTTTATTTATAACTAATGTTAAAAATAAAGATTGGACAATCGTCACACAAATAGTAGAAAAGATCAGTAAAAATCAAATAATATGAATTACTCTATTATGAGAAGATTCAATGTTAAAAATATGTAATTTAAGATTGTAACCTACTTGTTTTTTTTAAAGGTCTTTTTTTATAAATATATGTTCAGTACATAATAAGAATGGTTGATGAAATGGAAGATTTTTATACTATACGCGTTTTAAACGTTTTTACATCATCAGCTCACTATATGACCTCACTGAGGGGCTTGAAGCTTACACACAGTTAGGAGTGACTAGGCCATAGTCAATAACGCTGACCTAGTACGGGTTGGTGAACTTCAACACATATCTTTGAATTTCTTTGCAGGTTGTATCACGATGCTTTCCTTGATCGTAAGAACGTCAGATAAATGTACTTAATATGTTAATCGAATACCGAAAAACACATGGTGGGATCTGAACCCAAGACCTGCAAGATTATGTCAAGTACTTAACCCCTGAACCACTGACGCTATTTCCACATAGCTATATTTTAAATGACTGTATTTATAATATTCTATCCAAGACGCGGTTTTTAAAAAAAAAGTAAAATTAAAGATTAACTATTTTCTCTTTTCCTGATAAAAGCCCAAAGTATCGTAATCTAATTGCTAATTTCCAATAAATGACACCTCGGTAATGAAAAGGAGCGGCGAAAATTGTTATTTTTTTAAGATTACTAATTCGAAGTTTTAATTTTGTTAATTTTTTGTGAAAATCTTTATTCATTTAATTAAAATAATTCATGAAAATTGACTTTAATCACAATTGCTTTATCTTAATATTGTTAATTTAGATTCGGTTTCAGGAGGCTTGAAACGAAGATGAATTTCTCAATTAAAAATATTAAAATAATACAGATTGGTTTTAAAATATTTAGTTTTTTAGTATAATAATCTGTGGTCATTTTTCAATTTCTATTATAGAAATGCAATAAAAGCGATCCGCGCACGTGGCCAATTTCACGGTTAAGGACATATTGCCGACGCTTTAACTGGGACGTGCATAACAAAATTGTTCGATCGCTCGCAACCTTCATGTTAAACGAAATCGCTGTTACATCAAGAATAGAATTATTTACAACTCCGAGGCCAGTCTGAAATTACATAATTAGCAAAAGCAATAGCAACTTTAAAAGCAAATCTAAAAAGGCCAAGCATAATTTAGCAAGTTCAAAGCAATACGTTACTTGCTTACGAAATATTAAGCAATGTCGTGTTTCAACAAAGTAAACATGTGTGTTTACATACTACTGTCATATTTTTTCTATGTCATGACACGGTATTTGTTAAATAATACTTACATTTCTTATGCTATGATTCGCAACTATATGCACGCACGCGGCATGATGCGCTGAATGCGTTCACTCCTTCCATCCGTTCATTCGATCCCCTGGCTCACTCAGTCGTTCGGCCGCTCGCGTCGAGAACGATCGTGTCGGGTTGAGAGACGTTGCCTTGGCGCGTAGTCATCGACGTATACAATTTTTGAAATAAACTCCGACTTGTTTTTGTGTTCGCGTGTAACATCGTCCCAAAGGGTACGACGGCTCCCGCTAACTGGATCCGCTCTGGTTTTTTTTATTGTTTTTCGCCGGCAAGTGCAAAATGTGATGTTATGTGCTCAACGAGCGTTCCGTCCTGTGTTACGTTACTGCAAAGTGAACTCAATGGATGTAATGTGGTTTTAAATTGGAAACGTTAATCTCCTTTGGTGACTCAAAGTCGCAAACTGTAAAAAAAGGTTAGTGCGAATTCTTGATACATCACGTGTGTTATCTGTGTTTGCAAACTTTGATAACACGGTTAAGTATCAACTTTATCAAATAATTGTTAGTCATAAATTTCTCGGTTTACTTTTTGTTAATTTCCCAAATAGATATTAAATTTTCTAGCAGAGATAAAAACTTCCTATTAGGAAAATCACGATAAACTTACTTTTATATTAAGACACGTTCTACGTTTGATAATATTTTCAAATTAGTGTATACAATTGTCTAAAGAATAATTTAGCACCGACAAAATAAATATGAATCAATTCGAAGAGGCCACCGCAATGAGCAAACATCGAAGTCAGAATAAACATTGCTTATTAGTACCCGCGAGCTATTACTCAACATTTCAATAAACATATCCAGCCATTAATTTCTTTTGATCAAGCAAATTTATATGCTTGCAACATTTTATCTAAACGAGTTTTAAGGTTTATTGATGCAATGGAATTTTAAATTTCCGCAATAGAAATAAAAAAAAACATAAAATGTTAAGTTGAGAAATAACGCGAATAAGGCAGTGTTGTACATAAACAATCACTAAAGAATGTCCAAAAATAAACAATTATGACATAGCTCGATCAGGATCTACTTTAAAATCAAGGTCATTGTATCGCGAATCGTCGAAAGAACATGCATAAACGAAATAACATTAAACGAAGCTTCAAGACTTTCCGTTATTCGATTATTTGGCCTATGGCCAAAGACTCCGGTTTTTATCAAAACTAGACATTTGACAAAACAACAAAAGACATGATAATATTTTCAGCAAACATATTGTAACATGATGTCACCAAATTGTTGTTTTTTTTTTTAATTTTTGTGACATTGACATCGTTTGCTATTAACAAATGTCTATAATATTTTTCTTGTATTCCTTAAATATATAAGATATGTAAAAACAAATAATTTGTATTTAAAATAATTCTGCTTCGTATATTTCTTTATGTTATTGCCAGAAGTGCTTGTTTTATTCTAAGTCAGTTATAACTATTGCAATTTATGTCCTTCACGTAATTTACTGAATTCGAATGTTTCGCTTGCTAAAACCTAAAGTTAGCTTTATTTATTTTTAGTGTTTTATTATACACTAGCTGTCACCCGCCACACTGTCCACGCGGAGTTAAAAAAAAACATAATTAGTAGCCTATATATTCTTCTAGACTATGTTCTATATGTATGCCAAATCTTATATATAAAATTCTCGTGTCACAATTTTCGTTCCCATACTCCTCCGAAACGGCTTGACCGATTCTCATGAAATTTTGTGAGCATATTGAGTAGGTCTGAGAATCGGTCAACATCTATTTTTCATCCTACTAAATGTTAAGGGTAGTCCACACCTAAATTTTTTATTTATTTTTTAGACAAACACGCGGACGGAGTTGCGGGCGAAAGCTAGTTCATTTATAATGCTAGTTAGAAGTAAGATTACGAACTAATCCCTTCATTGCAATAAATTTAAAGAATGTAAAGATGTATGTATTCGTTCATTCGCTCTTACGTCGCAACATAGTTAGATTCATCGGTATATTTGTTTATTTTTCAGAAATCCAATATTACCGAACTATTCGTAACTAAAGGTAAACAATATTTTATGGGTACAAAATCAAACAATACATTTTACTACAATGAGCATTGTATTAAGATTTATACAATAAAAAGAGTTAGTTTCGTTTATTTTTCTTGAAGTATTGTATTCTTAAAGTTCCGAAAACGTTAATCTTGTTCAAGTAAAAGGTATTTAGTGAGAGAAAGGGTCTAAATTTATGTTTCCATATAATAGGAATAAGTAAAGTTCGTTAATAATTCTTAGACTAGGTGTCACCAGCGACTCCGTTTGCGCGGAATTAAAAATCAATTAAATAGTATCCTATGAGTGATACCAAAGTATATCCTACATCTTTGTCAAATTTTAGCAAGATACATGCAACCGTTCTTCTAACAATAATTAATACATCCATCCATCTAAACATATTCGATTAGAAATCGAATACCCATCTATTTTCTAAGAAAGTTATAAAATAAACTTGAAAAGCGTAAGAATATTAACACTGCTTTAAAATGTGCTGGAACTCATTCATAAATTATCGGATCTCAAAGAAAAATTACGTCATACTTTAAAACATTTTCTACATATTCGTAAATGTAGTAGTTACTATAAATCTTATATTACGTCTTGGCGGGGGATAAATCATCCGGCTACTTTACGAGCTCTGTGCCGCCATCTCTATTCGATATCGTGACTTAAATCCCAAACCACCTCTTTTTTAATGCCCGGGGAATTACCGCTGAAATTCGGGAAGCATAACAAATTATTTCGTTACCTCCCCTATGTTCAAATTCAAATATATCTTTCAAATGTGATTCTGAAAAAGCAAGCTTCTATTGTGCTGTCAGTTCAAATAGGATAGATTTCTTATTTTTATTTTATACAAAAATTAAGTTGTTTTGTTTTATTATAAACAAACCCACATTAGAAAGTATATAAATAATAATTAATCAATGTTTTCCTAAGCAGTATACATTAATTGTGACGTGCGAGACCTGAATACTAAAGCACTAACCCAATTAGATAGATCTTAGGTAGTTGGAACAATTTGTCACGGCCCAGACATCTAATTTTGCTGAGATGAATTCATTATCCAACTTAATAACTATTATGATACTAATTTAACGAGTATATTAGACGAATAATAACGATTTGAGATAGGCTATTTTGTATTGCTGAGTATTTGTCGAAAACATTAAATTTTCATATAATCTTGAGGTCTTTTTGTGTCCCCAAAATGACGATTTTCAGATGATGACTAGGCAATCGTAACATTGATGTAGATTTAAATTTGGAACACATTTCTAACGAACCTTTATGATGTGAACTTTTTGCTGCCACAAAGTTTTATGCCAGTACGTTTAAATAGAACTGTATATCTCATTATGATAATATAGGTAGCATTTGTGTTCGGTGCATCGCCGACGAAGAAATTTGTGGTAAAAATATTCACAGACATGCACAACGTTTGTAACGACTTCTGGAACAAGCGAATGTGCACCTTATACATGTTTTATTGTGTTGCTTCAACTCTTCTTGTGAAATTCGTTTGAGACAGTTTTAATTTCTCATATGTTTTAAAAGGACCCTTCATAAAGTTAAAAAAAGATTTTTTACCAATGAAAATTATGACACTCGGATACACACACCTCATTTTTTTATTTGAGGAACTACTTAACAGTACTTTTTTATAACTTTTTTTTGTTGTAAAACCTCATAATTTAACAAAACCTAAATACGAGATACTTACATTTATATTAGTATAAAATATTAATATTTGTAAGTTATTTTAAATTGAGACAAAGTGGCGACTTTTCAATATTCACGCCGAAATTTTGAACGGAAGCTAATTCGCGCCACCCTTTTAATTTGAAGACGCTAAATGAATTGTACTCCCCCTGTGTTTTCCGAGCGAACAAATACTGTTTATTACCGGCTGGAGCGGTGTGAGGTATAAAATAGCTCTTAGATTTATTTTATGCTTCGTAAAGACCTTTTGCCTTAATCACTAATACCGCACAAATGCACACATTCAAAACGGATTACCTTTTACTGTTAGATTTTCCTAAATTTCAACTTCTGCAACGGATACTTATAAGTATTATTATATAAATGCGAATGATGGATGCGATGTGGATGGATGGATGGGTGGGCTACACTAATTATTTTTTTTATATATCTACGCGGACGGAGTCGCGGGCAACAGCTAGGTTATAATATATTCGTAAGATTTACAGTATTTAAGTTATACAATTATATGTTACTAAGAAGCAATAGTAAACTAATTGTTTATTTAATTAATCAATCATCCATACAATGTAACATTCTGCGCAACGATACGAACCGAATGACACCTCACTTGCCAAAATAGGTTCAGCCGTTTAGGTTGTAGAAGGTCAGAATCATCATAATATTATGTTCATAAGAACCTAAGTCCAAATAAAAATAAGGAAAAGAAAATAAATACTCGTGAAACATAATACTATTCAGGCGATAGGGAATATTATAATACATAAACGAAAGCTTGAGTATTATTGTACACAAACGCATTTAAATTATTAGTTCACTTTGTAAACTACATCTCAAAGGACATCGCGACTGCAATGTATCAAAATATAAAAAAATTGTGCAAGAAACAAAAGCGAGTAGCTCTGGCAAATAATTAAAATGCAAATAATTTATTATTACCCATCAGTGATATTTATAAAGAAAGGGAAACAAAGAACTCCAGCGAGATTCAGGTCGTAAATAGCGGAGGCATAAAGCATGTCGCCGAGCGCGCCGGCAATTATACCCGCTGAGATTGCTACGCATTATCCAATTTCCCGTATTAGTATCTAGTGTAATACTTGTGCTTAATAGTACAACGTGTAATGAGTACCTACGATTTATGTAATCCAAGAACCCGGCTTACTGACCTCTCTGTAACATCGAACTTGAAATTTAATAGATTTTCTTAAAAATTATAGCATACTGGCCAGTAATCAGTATTTATTATCGATCGATTATTACTTATCAAAGGTATTTTGGTTGAACCAATATTAATCCCATTTTTAATTTGTTATAGTAATCGAATGATTTGTTGTTAAGAAGGCTATTGATTATTTTTTAAACTCCGTTTCCTTAAAATTCGGCAGTGAGAATGTTGACTTGTCTTTGGATCGCTTCTAACACGTCTAACAACAAGGTATATTGTAGTATTATATTGTTACCTAATAATATAACGGCGCTACACAACACGAATACATAATGATAATGACCGTCCTCCTGACCAATTTCAATCACGGCCGCGACTTCCGTTTGCAAAGAATCGAAGTGTTTATTGCCTAGTTAACGGAAGCAAGAATTATTCCAGTTACTGCGAATTTTCGGTATAATTTAAAATACGTGTAGTTGACTCATTAATAATGTACTTCTTAA